TGCCAGCTATGGGATGCAAACCGGCAACCTTCCAGCCACAGGTGCAGAGCCTTAGCCACAGAGCCACAGCACCCCCCTCTGTAGCTCTTATAGCGGCGCAACGCAGTTCCCTTTAGAAGCAATTGCTGAAAGACTAGACACAGTGAGGCAGAGGAATAGAGATGCGATGTATTTTTTAAATTTAACCCATTTTTGTATTGTTCACTTCAGTTATTAGCAGCATTCCTCTGGCATGAGTAAGTGTGAACTCAGTGGAGAGAAAATCTATTGGTAATATCCCCTGGTAGGCCGTGTATTAAGGGCTGTTTCAAGTTTCCAAACACAAGTGTGTTTTCTGAGAAACAGAAACTATATCTGCCAACACCGTTGGCTTGCCATGTCACCATGCCTATAATCTGAAGTACTGTCTTTATTACATTATTTGTTGGCCAACACATTCACTTGCAAAGGACAACACCGTTGATATAACCTTGTGTGCTGTTTCGCAGTGTCCTCAGTGAAGCATGTGAACTAAAGAATGATTTTTTAAAAAATATATTTGCTTTTCTGGAAATCAACCAATACCAAAAGTAAAAGGAATCTAAATTACAACTACTTTTGACATTGTAGAAAGATTTATTTTCACAAAATGCAAAATACAGTGACAAAATTAACTAAGATATATGGTACACAAACCTAAAGAATTTGATCTTAATCATGTGAAAATTATGCTAAAATACTAACTCTGGCTAAGATTTATTTCCGTGGGAAATGGAATAAGGTCTACTTGTTGTGAATAAATATGGCATACAGAGAATTGAAACTAAAGAAAATAAAATGTGACAGGGAAAATGTTAGCTTGCACCCATGACTGTAAATAGCAAGTTCTCAGGACTGAGATCAGGGTATCTCAAGTCACAGGGAAATAGGTACATTGACTAATGCTTCATGGGTAAACATAAGATGGCTAGATTCTTATTTATCTTTTCCAGCATGGTCAGTGAATTAAGCAAAGCAAGATTCAGTTCTTGTTGCTTTTGCCATACCTTTATATTGAGCTGAAAGGAATATTGTTTAATGAGTTCATTGCTTACTGCTTTTCCTTTAACAGGACTTTTGGGTGGCCTTGAGATTATCATTATAATTATAATTGTTTAATAGCACTAAGATGCGTTTAGTTGACACACATGCTTGACACCTTCTATATGTAATTAAGAGTAAGTAATAAGTAAGTTAAGCCTTATATATAAGAGTATAAAAGGAGGTGATTTGAAAATAGCTAACAATATGTAATATATCATTTGTGGCATCAATAATAAATACAAGCAACATTTGCTTAATTGCATCCAGGTTTCTAATTGCAATCATATCACAGAAAAATAACACAACATAATAAGCAATAGCTCAGCTGCAGCACAGGATTTAATTAATAATATTGCCTCAGCTACTTGAGCCAAAATGTGTTATTAAAGAAAATATCCATATGTTTAAATGATATATTTAATTATTTTATATATTAACATTATTTTAATAGTGTACATTTAGAATTGTTGTAGACTGTCACAAATGTTGTCTTCACAGTGGAAAATTATAGATAAAATTATGTAAACAATTATTAGATCTTGTTTTTTTTTAAATTACATAAATCTCACAATTAAGATAAGAGACTTCCAGTGTGTAACATACATTGTACTTTATAGCAGTCACTTAATGTATTTAATGCAGCCCTTAAGTTAAACCTGTTGCTTATACCAGTGTTATGAGTTTGGTTGCATTATGGTTTCTTCTGTTTAGTACAAATGTAATTAAAATTGTCAACAGTTACAAATATCTTAGGTCTATTGCTGATTACAAACTAACCTTTGAGGAAAACACGGATGCCAAATGTTAGAAGAGCCTACAGAGACTGTTCTTCCAAAGAAACCTCCACTGTTGTAATGTGTATACTACAACAATGACTTAATTTATACAGTTTTCATTGAATGTGCCCTTCAGAACATTCAGTGCGGTAGCCTGGTTAGGTAACCTTAATACACACAATAAAAACAGACTGAACAGGATAGTGAAGGTATCCAGCAAAATTATTGCTTTACAACAACTACAGCTTTCAGACATCTACGTCAAACAAATAGTGTGGAAAGCCAATGCAATCGCTGACTGTCATGACTACCCCTTGCACAGTGAACTTGACCTCTTTCCATCTGGGCGTCGATTTAAACTGCCTAAATTCAAGAGCAATAGAGCTAAGTCATCTTTTATTCTATAGCTATCAACTTGCTCAATTTGGACAACTGTTTGTATTTTTTACTTTTTATATATACATTTATTTTCTTTCTCATCATACAAGTATGTTTCTTATTTGTTAATGGGTTGATGTTGTGTTGGATGTATTGTGTAGTGTTTTTACCTGCCTCCAAAGGAAATTTCCTATCTGGGACAAAAAAGTAAAGTAAGTGATGTGTAGGATGTAGGAAAAATCCAAGAGAAAGCCTGTGGGTATTGAGGGAATTATTATTTTTAAAGCTGCTTTCAGTCACATAATAAAACATTGTTTCAGTGCACCAATGAGATTGCCTAGTTTTGAAAGGAAAGTCGTGGTTTTGGGATCAGTATCATTGCTTACATTGGTATGAGTATTTACTCTGTCAGTAGCATGCATGTAACACTGGATAAGATAAATGACCCTGTTTACTCATATCTCTCAGCCCTATAAGGCAAAAGCTTGAGTACAGGAAGTAATGTGCTGCATCTGCTCAGAGGGGTCAAAGGGTAGGTTTGAAGCTATGGCAACAGGAATCAAATAGAAAGTGATACTTCAAAACACTTTAAATATTTGGTCACTTTAAGGAAAGCAATCAAGCTGATGCTGTTGACCATTATATATGCAGTAATTAATAATCTGGGCTGTAGTCTCACTGTAGCATTGGAATGTCAAGTAGTTACAACAGGGCTGATTGGTACTTAAGTAGTTCAGGTGGGGAGCTGTGTCAGCATGCCTAGGCTGCAAAGGAACAAGTAATAGTTTTATTCCATGCTGAAAAGAGAAGAAAGAAAACACAACATTTCAGCTGTGGTGTTGGTTTTCTGTGCTTTAATACTTCTGGCCTCAAAAAGGGAATGCCAGAGATTGAGTAGCTAGCCCAGTAAATTTCCTATTCATGCAAAATTCTCTTGTCTGAGACAAGGCAACAGTTGCAGAGGACTTTAAAATCATACGCATGTGCATAATATCCAGCAGACATATAGAACATAAAGAACAGCTCACAGAATGTTTAGATGGCTGTGCAGCTAGATGTACCGTTCTCTGTCCATACCCTTTTAATAGCCCCTAGCAGGCAAGGCCTTTCTCTTTTCAGTCATATGTTTTAGGACGGTTCTGTCCTGGGGGTCTTATTTTGTGTTGGTCAGGCTGATGCAGAACTGATGTGGCATCTCACTTTTTCCAGTGCTGATTAATGGTGCAACGCTCACACTGGGCAATTTCAGATGCGTCTGCAGGCTGTTCCTCTCTAAGCTTGATCTTGATGTAGCTGACGGAATGCATTCATGCAGTCCCACAGTCACAGAAATAATGGTCAGAGTTACACTCCTCTCCACCACCACCCACTCCATTCACACAATCAGGCAAACACTCACACACAGGGAAATAAAAACACTCTTTATCTTAACCAAAGCTTAAGTATTTTTACTTTGTGAACCTTTATTAAGAATCATGGTGTTGAATATTGATGCAAGTAGCATGCTTTTTGTTTTCCACATAGTTGACTTGGTTACACTGGTAATGAGAAAGACCTTTTCACAATGTTAATTCATTACCTGAAAATAGCATTAATTGTTGTTATTAATTAAACACTGCATACATTTGTTTATTTACTGTTAAAAAGAAAATGGGATCAGTAGCATGCATTGCATTTAAATGAACTTATTCATTTCTCTTAAAACATGATAGTGGATAAAAGGTATTTTTAATCTTTTTTGTGTGTACGTGGTAAAATAAAAGACTGTACCTAAATTAAAGTTATTGAAAAGAATACAATATTGAGCATTCTGGAATGCTGAAATCGATTCGGCTGACACTCATATATAGGTAGGAAAAATAAATTCTTTCCAAAGCATGAACCTATAATGAGTTCTGTCAGCGCTGTTCCCATGTATCAGATGATATGCTGCAGAAGGTTGAAGGTGAATTACAAGGCCATTCAGATTCTCAGAGTTCTTTTTTCAGCAAGCAGTCTGAAGTCCAAGTGCTCAGCTCTGCTTTCCAAGTTCTAAAAATACCACAAGGTTCAGTAAGTGAGTATTTTTAGGGACTGGTGCTTGCTGGGAACCACACTGACTTGTTTTGGCAGACTGTTTCGTGTGTTTGGACTGCATGCCCGTGCCAGTCAGTCTCTTAGTACATTTCTGGGTTGAGCTTGTTTGAGAATGTATTTTTGCAAGATCTACATGTCATAACAGAAACTTTGTAATTAGACAGAGGATATTGCTTAAATCATGTAACAGAAAGAGGACGGAAGAAGAGACAGGACCTGGTGCCAGTTACTTTTCTTTTTTTGTCGTGTGTCCATTTTTCCTGGTGCTGTTTCATGGCTTTGTCACATTCAGTGCACTGTACATAGCACACCTCCTGCAGCCCATCGGAAAAGGTCTACATGCAGAGTCTGGGGTGCTGAAGACGTCTCTGTTCTGTAACTGAAGGACGACTAAACCACACACCCAAGATGTAAAAAGGAAAAAGACCTGTTTACTCTAAATCTAGAAAGACTAGAGGACAGTTTTTTTTTTTTAAATCCCGGTTAAAAACCAAAAACTTATAAAACAGTTCTGTAAGCATTACATATTTGCAGTATTTCCTTGGATGAAAAGGAAATAGAAATGAGAGAACTACATCCAACCCCCCTGAAGAAGGACAGGGGGCAACTGAGTAGTGTTCACGCACACTACCATCCTGTGGTAGTCCCTATCACTTACTATATCTGCACCTCAAAAAAGTTTCCTTTCTTTCACCTTAAAAAATGCAGATATGAAGCAGAGAATGCCTTCTTCTCCAATCTTAAGTTGGCCGACTTCAACATCATCGATACTCTGGGAGTTGGCGGATTTGGCCGCGTGGAGCTGGTAGGCTTTGAGAAAATCCACTTGACTTCTGTTCTTGTCTCTCTGTCATTCCACTTTGCTTCAACCTGTGATCAGGTTGAATTAATCATTGATTTAAGAAAGATTTTGACAAAGGTAATATTTATGTAACTTTCGAGAAGCAAATGCGACAACTTCAGCACAGGGAAGTCAAATATTTTGCCTTTCTTGGATCCACAGAAGAGCATCTTCTTATTACAGAAATAGGCCAAATATTCAGTTTTGGTTCATTTTGTGCATGATGATGTTACATATTAGTAAAATACAAAAGCTATATTTAATATTTACTCTCTAATCTGAAAGTATCAATTTTGTTTAGGATGTATTTATCTGCATTATTTTTATATGATTACTCATAATGTTTTTTCCCCCTGTATAAGAAAAAAGCATTGCAGCATTAATTTTGTACTTCCTGTTAGGGACATCCTGATCTCCTATAGATTCAAGTAACAAAAATACCAAAAATATTAATCATTCCACCTCTTAATATTCCTGTGCCAGTCCAGTTTTGAAAATGCATTTGGTTTGTCTGTAAACAAACACAATAGGCACTTCAGACAAAAAAAACACAATCAAATGAGGGAGTTCCATGGCATTTTTGCCTTTATAGTGTAAGGAACCCTTTATACTGGAGTGTTTCATATAATATCAAAACAGTCTACCACATTTTTCAGTGGTACCAGAAGTATTACATGTACCCACTCTCAGCAAATACATTATCAGGATAATGTGTCAGATCATGCAATGGGCTGCACGACACACCTTTGATTGTTTGTCAGTACCCTTTGGCACTATATGAAATTTAATGGCCTGACATTCTACTCTCGTAAACTACACTAATAAACTTTGATGTGCACAGTATCTTCTCCAGGAATTTCAGAATCAATTTCTCATGTAAATTCTGCCATTCTGCCAAAGTTTACAATTTTATCTTAAGGCAGCATTAGTTTAATAGATGTCATTTTCTGTCTTCCATCTGAGATACTCTTGGTGCATACATGTAAGCATTAAAAAATTACAGTAATAACAACAAAATGAAACCCAGTCATAACAACCTTCTGGGTATGCATTCCATCATTAGTCAGTCACTGGCTGGTAAAGGTCTATATAAAGATGTGCTACTGTCTGCAGGCTATTTCTTTTAATGGAAAATAAAATAAAATGCCTGATTAACTTTGTGACAGGTACAATCTACCATGTGTACAGGGAAGTAAGATCAAACACCTGTGCTTCTCTCAAATACCAGAGTATTTTCTGTGTACCTATGATGAAAATATATTTCTTTTCCAGACGAATTGATAATATTTTTTTGTGTGTAATATAGCAATTTCTTTAGATTAGAGCATCTTGGTGTCCAATTTAAAGAATAACAAAGAAGTCATTTTCAGTTGACAACACGTAGGCTTTTTGATCTAATCTATAGCTAGCAGTGTACTCATTGGTACATTTACTGCCTCTGGAAACTAGATAGACAGCAGTATGTGGTTCAAGACACCACATGGGCAGGGAGTTTGAGGCTGGTGCAGCGTGGAGGAACTGAGACCATCAGTAGTTCAGTAAAGGAAAAGCCCAGCTGTGTGACCTAATGAGGAACTCCCAACTCTTTTTGGCTTGGTTGTCCTGACCTATTTTGAGCGCAGCAAAGCAGAAACAAGTGTCCCCTTGCCAGGGGCATCATGTTCACCCTGGTGTGGATTATTGCTCGATAGCAGAGATCGAATGACCCTTTACACTGACTCCGCCTAAGGTACGAAATGTGAAAAACTCAGCTCAGAGCAAAAACATCTTAAGATAGCAGGTACAGATTTGACCATTCCACACTGTAACAGTAATTAGCACCACGTGGTCATTAAAAATGCAGAACTTACGAAGGTCACATTCTGCTGCGATAGCAACCTGATGTCATACATTTTGCAAAAAAAAAAGTTATTTATGAAAATAACGTTGAAAAAAAATGTTTCACAGCAAAACTCTTTTTGCAAAAGTGTAGGTCATGCTTACTCTGAACATCAAGTATTTTGCACAGCTTTCGAGCAGTTAGAGAACCTACATGTAAGGTTTATTTTGCAGGTCCAACTGAAAAGTGATGAAGCCAAAACATTTGCAATGAAGATCCTGAAGAAGAGACACATAGTGGACACCAGGCAGCAGGAGCACATTCGATCAGAGAAGCAGATCATGCAGGAGGCCCACTCTGATTTCATTGTGAGGTATCCACACCTGTCCAGCACGGTTTCTGTGTCTGGAACCTAGCATGCACGCCCATAGCAGCTTTGCTCTTTCCAAAGTGTGGAATTGCTGTGGGATCTGCAGCAAAATACATTTTAAATGTTACACAACACTTAGTAATGAGTGTACTAAAAGTGAGAAGCTGTACAAGCTAGCTGCTCTCTGAGCTGAAAGTTAGACGGGAACCTTGCAGGAGCAGCTGCAAGGATGCAGTCATCTTTTCCAATGCCAAGGGGATTTCTTGCCAGAGAAAGAGAAAGCGACATCTCCGCATCTTCAGTCCCAGGCAGTACAGCGAAGAAAAGCAGGGGGCAGAAGTCCAATAAGAAAGTGAAAGTAATCTTTCTTGCAGAGAGGTTTCAGCCATGACCTGCTAAATGATAACAAAAATCTCAAAAAGATTATTTAAGATTTCTTAAAGATGTCTATTTTCAGAAAGGTTTTTTTTTAATGGTTCTATATGCCCAATTGCTTTCCTATTGCATTCCATACCCCCATCTACTATTTTCTCTCAGTGTGTATTTTGTGTTGTAAAGTGCTTTGAGAAGTCACTTTTAAAGGTGCTATATAAAAATAAAGATTAATATTATTATTTGAAAGAGAATTGTAAGAGTTTTAGGATTCTTTACATACTTAATCACAGAGTTGGTGTCTTTTTTTCTTAGGCTCTATAGGACTTTCAAGGACAGCAAGTACCTGTACATGTTAATGGAGGCTTGCCTTGGAGGAGAGTTATGGACCATTCTCAGGGACAGGTATGGTGACTTTAACTTTAATAGACTTTAATAGAATATTTAAAATAAATAATTTAATGTGTTTTTTATTAAATACATTTCATTCCCATAAACAATGAAAATGAATAGAAAGAACATGATCATTTTTATTCATTTGTTTTCCTGAATAATCATTTATTGCTTTAAGAATTTCTGCATAGTAACACTTGCAAACAGGAGGAGGCCATTCGGCCCATCTAGATCACTTGGTAGTAAGTAGCTAATTGAGATGTAGTATCTTAAACAAAACTGCTTATTGACTTCAAAACATGGCTGGGTAGCTTGTTCCATAGTTGTAAAAATAATAATGCAGGCAGGACATAGATCCACTAATTCTTAGTGTTTTTTTAAGCAGGCGGGATATTTTATTACAAGAAAATTACAGTCTTGTCACATGCTTAATTCAGATGTCAAAGTTGCTCTGTTACATGTGAGTGTTAAATTTTTTTTTATTGTAGAGGTTCATTTGAAGATTCAACAACTCGATTTTACACAGCATGTGTTGTTGAAGCTTTCGCTTACCTGCATTCCAAAGGAATTATATACCGGGACCTGAAACCAGAAAACCTCATCCTAGATCACAGAGGTTACGCAAAGCTTGTAAGTGCCAGATTGGAATCAAAAGTGCCTTTTCAGTGTTCTAAACACTTCATGAAGAGCTCACTGTCATGAAATACCTTGAATTGTTTCACTCATACACTGCTCAGAAAAAAGCATGCAAGACTGGCTTTCTGTTGTTGACAAGAAAATATGTTGATTTTGATTGGCAACATTACATTCTGAAGGACTGTGTGTTCTTTTAGGTTGACTTTGGCTTTGCCAAAAAAATAGGATTTGGAAAGAAAACGTGGACTTTCTGTGGGACGCCAGAGTATGTAGCACCAGAGATTATCCTGAATAAAGGCCATGACATTTCAGCTGACTACTGGTCTTTAGGGATCCTAATGTATGAACTTCTGACTGGCAGGTAAGACATAAAAGCAAACACTTGTTCTAAGATAGCAAAGGTCACAAGTGACACATCAGTTACAAGTTTCACAGTCTTGTGTGATTAATGTGAAGCACCCTAAGGCCCTGTTAGTAAAATATAAAATATTAATGTAACTGTACCATTCAGGTGCCTAGATTTCTAAATTAACTATACAGTATTTTAGATTCACAGGGTTTTTAGATATGCAATTTTGCTATTTTTTCTTAATTTTTATTGTTTAGTCATGTCTCTAACTGTTTAAAAGAAAACAACTGAAAAACAATCATAAGCTGCAAAAGCTGAACAGAGCTACAAAATGCTTCAAAGTGTTTGTTGAAAGACAAGAGTGTTTTCACTAACATACCTTAGTCCTGCCAGCAAACTGCTCCTGAGGTTGTAAAAATACAGTTCTGTGGTTAAATATGTCAGGGGCCTGTTGTGAACACAAGCCTCCTGGGGAGGCAGTCTTGTGATGTTAACAGCAGCTGAATTCATCAAATCTGGTTCACTGAACAGTGGTGATGGAGAGGACTGGAACACACTATTAAATCTTGGGTATATACAGTACTTTATATATAAAATAAATGAAATGAAAGCATTTATAAAGGTAGGTGCTGGATGTTAATGATGTTATCGTCACTTGTTTTGGTGTACAAAACTACATTCATTACAAGTCCATTTTCACAACATCTTAGAAATTAGTAAACTGTAATTGGCCAAAATTCCTATTATGTATTTATGGTAGCAACAATGACGCAGATGTCTTTTTTTTTTAAAAGCCCACCTTTCTCAGGCCCTGATCCTATGAAAACTTACAACATCATACTGAGGGGCATTGACATGATTGAATTTCCAAAGAAGATAACCAAAAATGCTGCTAATTTAATCAAAAAACTATGCAGGTGAGTGCTATCATGGTAATGTATTCAGAATAGAAATGGATCACTCATTTTACTGCTTGATAGTTTTCCTAAAGCGCTTTTCCTTTTTTTCAGGGACAATCCTTCTGAAAGACTAGGAAACTTGAAAAACGGTGTGAAAGATATCCAGAAGCACAAGTGAGTGACTGCAGAATGAAACAATATTTCTACGTCACTATGTTCAGTATGTAAGTGCAGGAATAGTTAACCTGGCATGTAGAATCCATACCATTGCAGGCTTTTGCTCCAGGTAATAGTTAATTACCAAAGTGATATGAAGCACCTGGATGAGCTAAGGCTCAATTTAGACAAAGGATTTTAGTGCTCATCATACTAGAAGATTCAAAGTTTTGTAAAGGCCTGGAATCATTTTACCAAGGTAAAATGCCTTGGTAAATGCTCTGCCCTAGTGGGACTCTTTTGACAGTTCACGGCTATGTATTAGTCTTCTCTAAGAATAAAACAGCTAATATATTTTGTGATCGTGAAAATATGAAGATCCAATGTGCTGTATAAATATAAAAACTGTATCTAAGATGCCAAAGGTCAATCAGTGTGAAAACCCCATTAACCATCTTCTGTGCTTTATTCTTCATAGGTGGTTTGAAGGCTTTAACTGGGAGGGTTTACGCAAAGGAACCCTGACACCTCCTATAATACCCAATGCAAGTACAAAATTTGCTTTTTCATCTGTTCTTCTTCTTAGCTCAGACCTTCCTACATTCAAATTTTTAGCAATTCAGTTTTTATGTACAGAACATGTTTGTGGTTTATTACATGGCTTATCTGGTTTTATTAATCCTAATAGCTTTCAGAGCTACAAAAATATTACAAAATGCAACTGGCCACAGTGCCTTTTCCACTTCTGCTGTTAGTGACTTAATTAGTGACTGATCTTTAGCTTGATTGGACCAATTGAATACTTTTGAATAGATGGTAATGTTTTAAACAGACCTAAATATCTGCTGGATTTTGATCCTCAGGGAATGGACTGAGGTTGTTTACTTGTACTGTCTCATAATTATGTTAGTCTCATAATTTTACCTGAATCATAAAGGTCTGTCTCCCAACTCTGGTGACAGGAATTGTACAACTACAGTATGTTGTAGAAGTCCAGTGTATGAAGTTCATTTCAAATGTCTCTGTATTATATAGACCAATGATTCTTATACTTGATCTTGACAATGTTTCTATTGCCTTTAACATTAGCTGAGGTCTCACATACATCAGTTGAACTAACAATTGACATATTTTGACGTTAATTATGTGGACATAGTTCTATTAAAGTAACAGCTCAAGGCTTGAATGAAAATGAGCAGACACTAGTCCTTCGGGACCAGGGCTAGGACCCATTAATATAAAGTGTAAGTATTATTATCTCTCATCAAATTGTAAATAATTCTGGGCGTACATTTTGTTTTTTCAGGTCACATCTCCCACAGACACAAGTAACTTTGACAGTTTCCCTGAAGACAACGATGACCCACCTCCAGATGATAACTCAGGATGGGACAATGACTTTTAACCTCATTTCCTCAACATGCTTCTGTGTTGCCTAGGACAGCTTCTTCAGGACAAAGCTTCAAGCGCAACCTGTAACAAAGAGGTGAATTAATGGAAAAATGAAGGAAAAAGCAATGCTCTGGGTCACCAAGATGCCTTTACTGATGCTGCTTCAGTTACTCCAGTGGCATTGGGACTTAAGTTTAGATAACAGCAGGGCTCCTTTGGTATTTTACCTTCATATTTATTGTTGTGCAAATGGTGGTCCTGGAGCAAGGCCTTTTTGTTTAAACTTAGCAGGAAGATTAGGTTTTCTTTTGCTGCAAAGAACCTGCTCGCCTCTACTGCTAGTTTTAAAGATAAGAAAATTGGGTAAGAGAAAAATTTGAAGCCTTGGTTCATCCTTATATTTTGGATTTTACAGCTTTTCATCGGTAACTGGAGTGGAGGTATATTCAATAATCCTAGCTGGCCGTTGTATTGATACAGCATGGCTCCCTCCTTTTAGAATGAGTGCAGCCACCTTCAGACTTAGACAGGACCATGACACTATTGGATCACTCACGTCAGAGTAATAACTGTCATGTTTACTTCTTTCTAAGTGCTCATGACAAAGCTGAATGTTATTATTGTTGAATAAATTAATATATAATATTAAGATCTGTTTATCTACAGTGTATGAAAATTTACCTTAAAAGCACAAATGTTGTTTTTGATTTACTTTCTCTTTTGATAGTTATGGTACTTCTACGACTAATCAGAAGAGTGCATTGCTAATTAAAACTTAAAAAATGTGTAGCCTACAGATATTCAGATAAAACTGTATGCTATGTTCTTGTTTTTGTAAATACAGTTGTCATCATATGCAATTTTTTACTCTTCGGTATCTGCTTTCATATGATATCCCATATACATTCAATTGAGGACAAGAGCTTTTCACTTTCTAAACCCCCTGAACAGGCTACTGCACATGGCAGTTTTAGGTAAAACACTTCAAATACATACTTCAAATCCTAATTTGAAGAAAAGGAACACTAACAGTATTATAATATTAAAACTAGGGGGAAGACATAAAGGTGTTTTTATTTCTTTAAAATAGTTTTAGAATTTGTATCTCAATTTTCAAAATTTGAAAGGGGTTTTGTATGGAAGTTTTTTTCTTCATGAATCTGTCTGGACAGAATTGGTGGGATTCCCAAATGTTTTAAGAGTGGGAAAATACAAAAATACCCTATGAATTGCGTGTAATTTAGTTAGTGTGTTAATGAAATGCAGGTACGGCACATTTATGAAATGATGTTATTTCACTTGATACAGTATTCAAGGCACCACAAGGTGGCAGACTGTTACAGGAGTAGGAACCAATGTTCTACATTTCTGACTGTGGTGCACAAGTGTTACATCATATGAGACTAATGATCTCTGAAGGAAATGATGACATTTACATGAGAACAACACCAACACATTACAATCATCAGAACATACATACTATAAAATGAATACTAGTTGCAATTCATTAATAGTGGTAGCATCTATGTATAGTATTTTTTATATTTCAACATCTATTCAAATTGAAACTTAGACGTTGCGTACCAATAATTTTTCAGTGTACTCTTTTTCTGTAGATATGTTCTTCATATTGCCACAAACCTGAATTTCAATGAATTATGTGCAATGAAAGCTAAATGAATTCCATATTCTAGGTGCAAAAGCTCTGTACGTGACTTACACTGTGCTGGATTAATAAGTTGAGAAATGTTATTTAATCGTAGGACCACAGATAAATATTTGTGTATATAGATATTTTAGCATCAACAGTTTGTGATACATGTTAATTTTTTTATTTTTTAGAGTATGATGGCATTATTACTTAATTTGAATATCTGAGACTGTGTGCATTGTTTGTCTTTGGTTTAATCAGACTTGAATGATCTCAATGTGTAACATCATCAATTTGAAGACTGTATTCTCTCCAACACTAGACTAGAATCACTCATTAACTGGCTGTTTGGCATTGTTGCAAGTGCCTTAAATTAATGGCATCCAAAAATAACTATCAGATTTGGTGTAATGCTGCATGACAAAGACGAACACCTCAAACTGTTGTCTTTTCTTAGCTTGCTGCTTTTTTACGGTTCTTTCAGCTCTTTATAAGCCTTTCTTACAATAAAATGTATCTTTCAAACGATGAAATGATCTCCTTATTTCTGTGGCTAAATTGTAAATCTGTTAATTAGATGCTGCATCATTTCTGTGAAATGTATACTGTTTGTGCAGGTTAACTTAAACGAGTAACTATATACACTATTGGGTCAGATATATTCCTAGTCTGCTGTGTGGTTATGACAGCTCCCTCCCCATGGAATAAATACTTGCATTGTAATGATTTTTATGCAACTGTCAGCCACTGAATAGCTGACATAACCATCAAGCTCATCTCGGCTTCAAGACCGGTCTCTCAGAAAGGTCATTTCTACATTTTGACCATTTGCATAAAAATGTCATAGTGAACCACATTATGAAGCAATCTGTGCATAGCTTTGTTGCAATCAGAACTGAACATATTACTTATCAAATCCACAAACCAATGCTATTATGTTACATACAAAGTGGGTAGGAATGTGAATTTCTTGTTTTTCTTAGTCATTTACCTTTGTGAGCCATGTAAGTGCTTTTCTTCAAAGCCTGTAATAATAACAAATGTGATTTGTAACCTTAGGTAGCAGCCGCCTCTGTCAGGCAGCCTGACGAGGATTTTATTGCACAGCTAGAGAGAAGGCACAATCAGTGCTCTGTTATTGAAGAATTCTAAAGGGATTATAATAAGTAGCTATTTGAAATAGTATTCTGTGTGCAATTATTGAAGCCTGTCACAATAAGTTAAAAAAATTAATACCTAAAATCTAAGAACAGTTCTATCAATGAAAGATGGCAATGGATATTTAGGCCAAGGCAGAAAAATCAAATACATGCAATCCCCAACTATTTTTCTTGAGGGGCTATTGTCAAAAGAAGGCATGAATTGTAGAGCAGCTCAGTCTCGGCACTGCACAGCATAATAGGAATATTGCTTTAAGTAGCTTTCTTGTATATGCAACTCATTTGTGATATGTATAAGAATAACAGTGATAACAGTTTTATTCTTTTCCATTGTCCATTGCAATAATGTAGTCATGTTGCTGGAACCATGAAAAAGAAAAACGTTTCAATATATGATTTTGATTAGAGAAGTTATTTGTCCAGTGTACAATAGCTACTTGCTATATGTTAGTGTGTTAACCTGTTTCAGGCTATTTTGCTCGCTGTAATAGTTAAATGGGGAACTTTGTTTTTTTTATCCACAACAAAACTCATGAAGTAATTATCAGTTGCATTCAGTGTTGCCTAAAACATTTCTTTATTGAGCTGCTTTCATCTTTTTCTGTATTCTCACTGCAACTTTAATTGCAGAGTGCCTGTTGTATAACTTTATGAAGCTAAAATAAAGACAAGTTACTTTTGGACACTTCTTGACTGCATTTATTGTTTTCACGTTATCAGTGATGCTGAAATGTTTCACTGTTTAAAAAACTGTAATTCTTTGAGAATTAGACTCCTCAGACAGTTTTCACCCTCTGGTCCACCATTAAAAATGTCATTTTTTTGTCTTCAGCATTCGGAGTTCAGAGTACCACAGCCCCAGAAAACTCTCTCCTGTCTTCACAGAGAAGGCTCTGGAGGCTCTGAAGGGCAAGGCCAAGGGAAATCGATCAGCTAGTCAGGAGGAGAGTGCATGATGGCCATTCCCTTGCTACTACTGTTCTGGGATCAAACGAGAGCAATTCAATCTGCAGGCTACCAGGTTGTAGCTGTCAGTGTGATGCCTTGTAGGAAAGCTATATACATTTTAGGTGTGGTGCTGATTCAAGTTTAAAGGTAAAGCTTTACAGTAGATACAGTATGTATCTTCTTAAGTTCTGCTGTTTCTGTGAACAAGGGGAAGCTTTTACTCAGCGTAGCCCACACCCTTGGCTCCTCTGTCTTTTGTGTTCTTCCAAATAAGCACATATCCAAAACCTATGATGGAGTTGAGATGAAATCCATTGCATTGTGTCATGGCAGCTTTCTTCACTCTGTGTATTTCATATAAGGCACATCACGGCTGAATTATGAAGGGTGGCTGCTCAAAGTTTTTAACCCCTTACATCAGGGCACTAAAATCAACATGCCCTTCAGTAGCAGCTTTGTCTCCTTTTTTGAGAAACATAATGCAAATATCCATTTTATGCTTATATCTCAATTTACAGCCCATTCAAAAAAGCTAATCATACTGACTCGTCCACATCTTTCCTTTCTAGGAGTACATTCTTTATTTTGTTAATTGTTGCCGTTGTCCTTTTATCAGTGCACTTTTCACTCATCCCGGCTAATTTTTTAAACGACTGACACGTTTCCTGTTCTATCACAGCTGATGGGGTTAAGAGCATCACTCATTAGCTGCCGTCTTCGGAACTTATAGGTATGGAGCTTTGTTTTTGCAGTGCCATCAGAAATGAAGCCGTAGTTGTACCGATATTTAACGCTTATCTCCATCCTTTGGTCTCAACGAAACTGTAGAGACAGCCGTATATCGATATATCATTACAGAAACAAGTTTGTGCTGGATATGGGACGTACCACGTCAGAAACCTCCACCCCCAGTCGAAGAGTCTGAAACGTAGAGGTGTATTTCCGTCAATTAACAACGCAACTTGTATTCGGATGGATTAAACATATCAGAATTCAGTTAACAATTGGTACTAAAACGACAGAACTAGAATTTAAATCAGTAGTACACGTTTAGAAAAGTGTTACCACCAATTGAAGTCTCGGTATAATGGAAACAGCAGTTCTATCAGATATGATTTACTATTTTCAAGAAAAATTAAATGAGCGGAGCTATCAAAACATTAATATTTACTAGAGTTCAGTCCACTAGATGGGCCAAAATCGTATTTTTATGTGCAGTGTGGTATCTTAGTTTTTCTGTGATATTTAATATGTTCTGCTTGTTTCAGTTAATACTAAATTATTCTGAATTTATTTACCACTCTTTTGACGTGGCTAACTAGTAAAGCCTATTGTAGTATGAATGGATTAGGCGGCAAGAAGGCATTTGAAAACAAGATTACCTGGCGTCCAACCAGACGAATTTGCTGAGCACAATGTCTGTGAAAACCTGCTAAAAGCCGAGTAAACGGACTGTTTGTGAAGATGCCGTGCCTGCTAAAGTCTGATTAAGACATGGGGTTCTAGTTCTGTTTGATCTCCTCTTCATCAAAGGCTCCTTAACACAAGCTACATTTTACACTACTGTAGGCTTGGATGTACTGTTAAAACAAAGCCAAAGACCAAAGAATTCGGGTGAATGCTGCCAATTCACGTTTAATGAAGTGTATTGAGCATTTGTCTTGTAGTTGCCTATTATAACCAACCTCTGTCAACAGCATCACAAAGCCTTTTTATTTAAGAGGTTATCCAAAGTATCAGGCAGACATTCTCTTAGAAACTGTTAAATCGTTAGCGCGGTTTTGTGGTTACAAACATTTGGCCAATGGAACTAGTCCAGTACGTGTCCTTTTTAATCACGAGGAGAGATATACGGACACCACAAAGCTGTTATTTAAAACGCAAGTTCATATCCAAGTAACAATCAGTTACGTTAAAAATATTTACACGGATAAGTAAATCACGCACCTTTCGATGTGTTAACTAGACAGGAACTGAAAGAGCTAAGGGCTATTACTGACTTTTTGAGCATATATATTTGACAGTATGACAAACGCGCAAAACTCACATATCTTCAGATTAATCATCCATTCTTCCATTGAATAACTCGGTAATAACCTATTTTTTCCAGTTTTTAGCCAGATACAACAGTAGTTAGGCTTCTACCTCATCTTTCACATTCTCGTTTTTAACTTAATAAAACTCTTATTTTGTATTGTGTTTTAACTCGAGGAGGGCCTCCTGTATGTATATATACACTATATGGTTAAAAGTACACACTAATGGCTACAGATGCGACGCATAGTTGGACTGGAAACGTTTATTTATTGTGTGAACCTTTACAAAAGAAATTATCCTAGGATTTCTTGAAGGTAAGAAAAAATGGCAACATAAAATGTGTGGAGAACTCTTGGTAGCAACTGCTTTTAAAGATGTATATGTATATTGGCAGCATAAACCGTCAGAGGCTTAAGTGGTACTCCTATTCAACTTTCTGAGCGCCTTTTCTGACCGTAACTTTAAGAAAACAAAAAGACATTTTAATAGCTTCTCCGCGACATAGTATTTATAATTTGTTATGGGTTTGCGCACACACTTCTGAGACTATCCTCTATTATTATGTGCCGGGATATAACGCTTTGAGCAAGAAGCGCGTCAAGCTCTGCTTTGTATCCCTAAAACTGTAGGAACACACTTAAAAGCCCATGCCCTTTTTTTCTGTCTGTGCAGTCTTCTTACTATTATTCTTATTATGCCGCCAGCGCATGTTTTTGTCCTCTTTGTCTTCGGGCGAAAACCTTAAGATAGCATTTACAAAAATCTTCAATTGTATTAGATGGAAAAGGGATATCGATATCAACTTTATTATAAATAAAACACGATAGTCACTACTTCAAGCAGTTTATGTAGCAATAAACATTTTTAACAAGAAAGTTATGTGCGCATAACGGACAGCCACACGTTGTTCTACTACTTGTAAACAGGACATTTGTATTTGATGTCTTTTCAAGTTGCAAGTAATAAATTAGTCCCAATAGTTTTTAAAACTTCATTCAATGATAGGTTTCCCGGTTATACAAATATGCAGCAGGCTATCCTGTTTGTGTGCAATTAATAGTCACATCAGCGAGGGAATGAGAATGTCATTGTAATTACATTTTACAGTGATCAACACCATAAATAGCAGATGTCGATCCATGTCAAGGTTAATACCGACGGGTATGAAGTTGTGGTTGATGAGAAAAATTCCTTTCAAGTTGAATATCTGCGCCTTTTCATGTTTTCTGGATCGAGCCCTGAACTGAAGTTCAGAGAGGCCGATGCCAGTTCCTTATCGTGGAGTGCTAATCAAGCCATATTTGTTTTAGAGCACTTAGGCTAGATGATAATTAATTCGGTAAACTTTTCACTCCCAGTGATTTGCATATCAGCCTTTGATCTTCGCCGATTGTTGAATCAAGTGCATTTCAAAGTTTTCTCATTACAATAACGGATCAAATGCTGCTAATGGACCGAAAATGACTTGAATAACCTCCCATTACAAAACTTTAAGGACTGTCTGGGTTACTTAATTTACTTGACCGGTTCTTGGTTCTTGACAGTTCCTCATTATTATTATTATTATTATTATTATTATTATTATTATTATTATTATTATTATTATTTAATTTCGGTTCGGAAAGCGGACGGATGTAAAATTGGAAGAATGACCCTGTTCTAACGTCTCGTTTAATGAGAAAACATGATTCTGTACCTTTTGTTAATACAGACTAATAAAATAAGTGATGTAACATTTCAACAGGATACTCAAGTTCAGCTGTCATGCGCAGAAGGAGTGGGATTAAACTTCGTCAAATCACGTTTAAACAGTGGTACAGATAAACAGTCTGGGTGTGTGAGGGGAAAGAAAAATACAGTAACTGTAGTTAATGTTGACATAAAATAGAAAAAGCAAATGCCATAAGCCTTTTAGGAGGTTCTCTTACATTAACAATGGGTTTAATTATATCCCTTAAATCCGAAGCGAAGTATGGGCGCTGCTTCCAGTGTATCAGAAGATGTGTCGGTGCGTGATTGATGTAATCTCAAGGAAAATCATTGATAATTATATACAAACATCATTGTGAAATCCCAGGAAGAGAATTCCCTTCCAATAGGTTAGTTTCTGTGGGAAGCGCCAGGAGTCCAATCTCTTTGAAATTTCATCCCTGCCTTTGTTATACATAGCTAGGGGCGGGAATGCAAACAACCCCACATGTATAAATCCAGCAACAGAACGAGTGAATCTTCAGAAAAAAACGGGAAAGAACTGCACCGTCTACTCGACCTGAACGCTTACAGAGGACTATACTGCAGTTAGATCGCCAAGGGTGACCAAGGAGTGTGCCTCTTCCTCCCGATTGTAATTTCACAGTTTAAATATGCATTTGGCTACAATACCAGTGCTTTTAACTGCATGTTTCGGGCTGTACGGCTATTCGCATGCTGTTAACGCGGGGTCCGGTCTGTTCAACTCCAATGCTATCAAAAACCTTTCCGGCGGTGCGCCGAATCCCAGCTACCCGGTCAGTGCAAGCCCGGACATCCTTATGTACGACAGCGGCAACAAGAATATTGGCGCGGACACCTTTCAGGTAAGCACCTCTGCAGTTACTGTTGAAGTAGTTGGGAGATGGGGGTCCCTATTTATAACTAGCTCCACAAAATGTGAAGCATGACACAGGCTTAACAGTAACAGGAGTATCGCATTTCATTCAACTTAGCAACTTGCTATTTTTTGCAGATGTATAACGGAACAGTAGCTTTTTTACTTTCCAAAACATGCACCTATACATAAGGACCATTACCTTACCAATACTTTTTTTTTTCTCTTCTTAAGAGTTACAGCTGCTTGGATGATGAGGAATGTGCCGTTGATGAATACTGCCTCGGATCCCGAGGCGTCTGTCTCTCCTGCAAGAAACGCAGGAAGCGCTGCGTCCGGGACGCTATGTGCTGTCCTGGCAACCACTGCAGTAATGGTGAGCTCAAATTTTAACACACTGGAACAATTAGGGCAAGATTCTTCGAAACGCTGGCATACCATAGTCTCTTAAAACGTCTTGATTCCCAGTTTTATGGTGCAGCTCAACAAACTTTTTCGGGGGGGAGGAACGAGGGGCTTTTAGAGTTTCCAACGGGCATTTTACCATCAAACTGTACCTTAATTTTAATTTTGTGTATTTAACCCGTGTTTCTCCTTCAGGACTGTGTTTGCCTAATGATCCCGACACTACTTACCACGCTGTGGTCGATGACACCATCCCCGACCGTCTTGTTGATGAAGATCAGTTCACGGTGGAACCTCATCCTAGACGAACCATCGTACCCACAGGACCTCAGTCGCTTAAAGGTATGGGTAACAACTACACTCACGAAAGCAAGACTGAACCGTAGACCTCTATGCAAGGAAATGTGGAAGCAAGCATGTTTTGTAACTGCGCAAAGCACAAACATACGGCCCCGAAGAGCTTAACATTTAACTTTGCCTTTTCAGGTCAGGAAGGCGAAGTGTGTCTGAGGTCTTCAGACTGCGCAGAAGGGCTGTGCTGCGCTCGTCACTTCTGGTCCAAGATCTGCAAGCCTGTGCTAAAAGAAGGACAAGTTTGCACCAAGCACCGAAGAAAAGGAACCCATGGTTTAGAGATATTTCAGCGCTGCGACTGTGCAGATGGCCTGGCCTGTAGAACCCAGCAGGGTGATCACAGCAGCAAAGCATCCAGACTTCACACCTGTCAGAGACACTGATCAGTCTCGCAGCGGATATCGGACGATCTATTTTTACCTATTCTAAGGACTGATTCTTTGGTCAAAGTGTTTCAAAGTGCTAAAGGAAGAGTTTACATTTAATACTCTGTTTTCTTTTTATCTCTCCCAAAATAGCAGAGTAGCATTGATCGTTTCTCTTTTACGGAACTTCAGCTTCACAATAATTGCAGTAAATTACTGTATTGTAAATATTCGGAGTGGCACTTACGCTGTAATTATTTTTATGTCAACAAGTATTTTAAGAAAAAAGGTGCTGCATGGTTATCCTAAACATTCTACTATATTGTAAATTTGTAAACAATGTAATATTGCTATTTAGAATATGAATATAAATGCCTTTATTTTTATTTTAAATAAAATGTAAAGATATTTAAAACATTTTAAAAAAGTGTTTCATTAAAACATAATCAAAATTGGCTTATCCGTTCATGCACTTATGTCACACGAGAAGCAAAAACCTAAACACCAGTATTTATAACTTTTTGAATGGATCTTTGTGCTTTAGTTACAAAGTTGAATGTCTGAATCCAAAGGTTTTGACATCAACATTTACAATATCAAATTTACAAACTAAGATATAAATACATTCCAGTGAGCTGTGTGCATTTTGGAAAAAAAAAAAACATTAAAATACATTTCAACAAGATACACTCTATACCATTGAGCTGTGGTGGATATAATGGAGATAATACTATACACTGATACTTGCTTATGATTACATTATATACAAAATGGGCGTGCAAGCTGGTTACAGTGAAATACTATCATGAGACTTCATTTAACAAAAAGCTTTTATTCTGATTAAAACTAAAATTAGTTGTGATTAACAAGACTTTACCCCATTTTACATGTTCCTGATGTACAACCGATTAAACATGGCACCTCAGTGAACACCATACAGTATGGCCATTTAGGCTATTTGTAGAAGTCTAAAACATCTCAGGTGAGAGTCCCACTTGCAAATTTCATGTTTCCTGAAATATCATTCCATCTACCCTTGAGAAACCATATGGTTCAACATATGGGAACATTGCATTAAAATCTCAGATTTCTTCAACAGAGCTCATGATCCTGAATTTTGGAGTCAAAGGCTGTTCTGTTGGCACAAAATAAAAATTTCCCACTCAAGAAATAAAGTGGCCACAGAAAACATGTGAGATTACTTTGAAGACACACAGTGTAATGCAATGCTTCATAAGGGTTTATGATACTTTAAATTAGAATATAAATAAAAATCTAACATACTACAACTACTGACAATGGTAAAAAATAAAAGTGTCAACACATGAGCAATTAACATTTCATCTGATATAATTCTTGGATTTCCAAATATCTCCTGTTTGAAGGGTTAAAAATGAAAATCCTCTCACCCTTAAATCAATGTTAAAAGTCATCACACTGAGTACTAAAAAGCTACTTTACTTTGTTAAAAGGTTTACTTTGTTACTTTATTTTATATCAAAGTACTTTGCTTTCATATAAACTCTTCGATTCCCAATTGTTATGTACACAAGAGTACATAAGAAAGATGTAGCAATGTCAGTACTTGTTTGGATAGGTGCATGCCAGCTTTATTCACATCGTCAAAGAACGTGCAGAAAAATGTTCTAATCTCTTGAAGACAGGTCCGAATTCAATCTCCATGGTCCAATTATATTATTTTCATAATCTTTTCTTTCTGCACGTCCAGCCCATTTTAGTTTCTTGAGTCCAGTAATGATGTAATACGCTCATGTTTGTGCTTCAGTTTAATTATAGATTTACTGGTAGGTGATAGTTTCTGTATATGAATACACAAGGGGTCAGTGGAGGATGGTCACTTGGTCAAAGTGGGTAATGTATTGAAAGTGGTACCCTGTCTCTCAGTTCATCCATGGGTGCTGAGGTGCCACCTTCTTTAAAGTAACCCTCTTTGGAGAAATGAAGAATTAAGTCATTTTTTATATTACATTCATGTATGACAAAAGACACAGCTCCATTGCTGAGCATCATTGTGGCCTAACCAAGGACTCAAAACACACCCAATGTCAAAGAACAGCACTCCTGCTTATGATATATCAGACACATATGTTTGAGAAATACAAATGTGCTCTTTTCAAACCTGTACTTCTGTTTATACTGTACATGACTTTTTTGTTTTCATCTTCCTTTCAATTTCTCATAGTGAAATTTGAATTAGTTATATAAATACATCATCTTACATTTTAGTTGATCAAAATATGCTTAAAAGTTATAGAATAACCAATTCCATGATAATTAAAAACTCAAAGTACAAATGCACATAGTGTTATATAATCGTGTTCTTTTCATTTCACTATTTGCTGTTTCTTCTAAGAATGCATTGTTTAAGTTCTATGACATTTCTTCCTCCTTTCAGGTAATTAGAACCCCAAGAGTTTAAGTCTTTACTTCAAGCTGTCATGAGAGACAAAGCAGAAGGGTAGGCATTTCAAAGCACAGGATGTACAGTTTGCAATCGCCTCTTCTACATGGGCAACATCCGAGATCAGAGAATCCCCTCCTGCTTTTGTCAATACCATCAACAACTGAGAGACCCAAAACATCTGTGAGAGGAATCTCGACCAACACAATAGTGCTGAGGAAACTAAAAACCACCTGCTAGACATACAGTAAAGGAGATAATTCTTTGAAAAAAAAGACAGGCATCTTCTGGATTCCAAAGAGGGGCAAAGCTATTTGATCTGCTTCCCTTAAGGGAAACAAGAGTTACTGGAGCATGTTTCTGGCATTCACTCATAACTAATCAGCAAACATCAGCGTTAAAAGACAGATTTCCCTTTTTCACTTGGGCACAATAAAGTAGCAATCCAGTTCCAGCGAAACAGCAAAACAGTGCAAATGTTTACACACTGCCTTGGCAGACACATTCTCTTTGAAGCTGTAATCAATCACCTCTATTGCAAATGGAATTTTTCACCAAAACACAACAACAAACCTATTGTGGCAAAACAAGCCCAATTCCGATAGAGTGCATGAAACATCTACTAAACTATAACACACATTAGGACCTCATGATACTAATGATATTTTTTTTTTCTGTCAAGTTATTTGATCGCAGTAGACAGAAAATCATTTACAAATAAGCAAACAATATTTAACACAAAATGTAACTGACCTAAAGTGGTTAAAAAGCAATAAACTGAGAATATACATTATTTATCCACATGGCACAGATTGTGCACTGTTCCATATGCTTGCATATGTTGTGTAACATGCTTTGGAATGTATTTAAAGAACATACTGTATACAAAGTAAATACTTTACCTATTATAATTATGAAGAGGCAATGAGGCATTTTAATAATAAATTGTATTATTAATAATTGATATTATTAAATAACTCAGTGATGAGTAATTGGTGTTTCCCTCTGATTGGTAAATATATTAAACTTATTACACAGTAACAGATTATGAATACTGTCTGTGTAATAGGGTGTATGCATGAAGGCTAATCTTTCATACAAAATCACTATGATTTACTGTATACTGTATCTATTGTTTAAATAAAGATCTTTGTCCACCGTTTTCAACTTGTTTACTTAGTATGTTTTCCCACCCAGTGGGAAAACTGGTGATCCCATGCTTAATTAAAAACGTTCTAAAAAAGAGCATGGTATTCAACTCAGTGAACAACATGAGTGAACATCAGCTACATAAGATGGGCTGACATTTTGTGAAGAGTTTGTGAAATTTCAGAACTAGTCTACATGTATTTCTTACCTGCATTGATTCTAGGGTGAGCAAGGCTTTAAGCAAGTTGCAAATGAAGAGCAGTCTTTCTAGACAGAAATGGAATTAGAGGGTCATGTCTATACCAGCTATAATTGGGAAGTGCAGTGAAGAGGAGTGTGTCTGAACTGTAAGCAGGCAGGGCTGCACATGTCCAACACCAGACTGGGCTGCTGTCATCACACTTGCATACCATTCGACACTAACTGATGTCTCATCAGGACACAACTCACAAAGCCATTGACACTTCTATATGTAACTAGAATATTTCAAAGGAGTAAAAAATATTGTTTGATCTATACATTGGTGCTTCTGCCATAATAAATGACATAAATACATATATATATTCCATAAAATCTGGATAACCTAGCTCAAAGCTAATTATAAACAAAAGTTATTTGTTTTTGTTTAAAACCCTTTCCTTTCTGAATGTAATATCAGCATGTTGAATAGATACAACAGTTACACTTACATATTCTGTATAAAGTAAATAAAAATAATTTAGTCTGATATTAAAGAAATATTCTTTGCCTTTGAAATAGTAATTTTCGCAGACATTGTACCATTAAGCATACTTGCAATCAACATGATGCACTTATTCTTTTTATTGGTTGCATTTCACTACAAATACAGTTTTTCTACCATGCACATTTATAATCTTTAACAGTTGTAAGTTTTTATATTACTGTTAAGCAATATTAGCTATAGTAGGTAACTTTTTGTTTCCACAGTTCTGTCTTTTAGGACTCTCCCATTGATGCAATGGCACAATTAGGTCATGGATGTGTAAATTATTAATAGTTACCTCATATTCCAAGCACAGTGCTTGTTTGGACTGTTTAAAAAAACTTAGGAAATCAAACCTGCTAAATACAATAGAACAGTGTGTACAAAGACCAGAGGGAGGGTCTGATGATGATGTTACCAGCTGAGAACTCTACAATTAAGCTTGTATTGAATATTGCTTGTTATTTGCACTTTAGGTTTGAAAAATAAACAGCTTTTACCAACACACCTTGATGAAAGAGAAGATCTTAGTTCTTTAAAATGCAATAAATTCTTCAAAAAGTAAAATATCTAAATAATGCAAATACATTTTCCAGATCTAGTCAGTCTTTCATAAGACTGATGAATTTAGACATGTCAATTTCATCATGTTTTTTTCAGAATCATATTTCAAATCAGAAGCAGTACGTTTTAGCTTTTCATATAGATATCCAAACTATTGCATTTTGATTTCCTGATGTTCAAATACTGAAAACATCTGATTATGAAATCCTCAGGAAAGATATGGTATAAATTCTTAATATGTAACTTAACACATATTTCTCCATCCATTGTCAGAAAGTTGCTTACTCCTGGCCCCTATAGCCCAAAGCCTGTCTTGGAAGATCAGGGCACAGGATGAGATTACACCCTGGATGGGATGCCATTCATAACAGTCATAACTCAGAACCTTAATTTCCTTTCTAGCAAGAAAAATAATAGTTGCCAAATGTCTTTGTATTCAGTAAATGTCTAATGAAACACAGTCTTTTCAACAACCACTCATATTAAATTATAACATTTATCTAACT